CAAACTTTCCAGATATCCCGAAGAGCTATAGGGCCTTTCTAATCATCACAATCCTATCTTGTTGTATCCGACCACAGATTCCATTGGTAGGCTACTTCGAATTCAAAAGCAGGGTAATCGTAAAATCTATTTTGATCATGGCTTTGCCCTCATTTACCAACGTTTTAATTACCATTTTCTTTTCCCCAATTGGAACAAACTCCCACCAAAAACTAGTTTTCATCAACCATCCTCACAAATGAGCCACAGGCTTCGGACTATACATCCGTCTCGCCTCATGAATACTGTATTGCAGCTTCACCGATGCTCTCAGAGACTGTGGAAACGTGGAACATTCGTCCTTGTTGCTTACTGAAGCGGAATCTAAGTTGATTTAAGGACATTTTTTTTCAGCTCTGTCATGGCACTTTTCGTGAGAAACATCTTGTTTGGGTTAGTGGCGAGCCCGCGAAATGTTTTTTCAGCTGAAAAATTATAGTAACCGTCGAAGACCAGGTTGCATACTCGAAGCCAGCTTCCTGAAATTGAGAAGGATCAACATAAAAGTAGATAAAAAAAATCGTCTTGTCCCGAAGAATACCTTGTAGATAATTAGACAGATTAGATCTCTAGCTTTCTTATCTGTGGTCAACTTTTGCAATGCAAGTGGATAAAGACAAGCTCAAGAAAGGTGAGATAGAAGTCTAGCACTGCTCATTTCGAGAACATTGGAACAAAATGATACCAAATCGACTCTATAGTAGATGTCTTTAAACCCCTAAGGAGTAATTATGATCGTCAAGTTTAATCGTTCCATTAATAAGTTACTGAAAATAAATTTCGACTGATTTTCGACAACTCTAGCTGAAGCACTCATCAGAGTCAAAAATGTGCCATCTACTCGGAACTAATCGGCCATTTTTTATAAATTTCTGGCATTTCCAGCAAGCACTTGCAATTTCCAGGTGAATTCTATAAACCTCAACTCAAGCAAAATAATGAGCAAAAAACATTAAAAAACCTGAAACCTAAAACCTTATAGGATCGCAGCGTCTGTTCTGAGGAGCAATTGTCAAATTTTTTACTGTTATTGCCACTGTACTAAGGAATTAGTGTAGGATTCAGAGAAGCTATTAGAGAATGAAAAAGATTACCGATAAGGAGTTAGTTAAAATGACTGAAAAACTGGATTTCTCCAATCTTACCCATTCAATCTGAAGGGAGCAACTCTCGATTGGAAAGACGACTTTGTATTTCGTTAGCTCTTCACAACTAAAAAAAAATCTAGTAAATCAGTTTTTGTGAGCTGCTTTCGGCCTCTTTGAAATGCTGAATTTCGAGAAATACGTGAGAAGTTACTTACTTCGCTAACATTAAATGATAGGGTTAACAAGAAAACCTTATAACATCATAAAATTTGAATACAAATAAACAACTAGAATCAAAACGTTAGACCTCGG